CATAAATACCTAAAATCAGAGGTGGCCCCTAGCAGGAACACATACTCAACCATTAATAGCAAATTGTTTTGAGGGTTATGGTAGTTTGTTGGTCAACAGTTTATTTGTTAAGACACTGTCATAATTAAACTTGTACCTGCACAATCAGCATGGTTCTATATCTGTTAAGTTGCTGTCACACTGATGTTGTCATTTTGGTGAGGAAGGGGAACAATGTGACAACAACAATGTGAGATTTTCCATCCGTCCACTAGTTTTTGTTTAAGATTGGTCGAACTTAATTTGATGGTCACTGACATGACATCCGCCATGGGACATGCAAGAGTCTTTGTGAATGTTAGTGACTGGTGTCAGTAAGGGTCATAAACAGAGAGTCCTTCATGTTCACGTCAGCTGTGATCGTGGTGTGATGTTGTACCAGTTAAACGCAGGGTAGGTCTACAGAATCAGACGACTTTAGCCTTAATGGACTCAAAGGCACAGCAGTAGTATGAGTGGCAGTGTTGTATCAGCATCGTATTGGTATGAGTTACACTCACTCTTCAGGATTCTCTCCAAGTTGCCTTCAAAGTCCAGAGCCCATTGATTCAACGAGCAAGTAGCCACAGTCACTTTTCGTCCCATGTTCGTGTCGGTGAGCAGATAAAGATTGAGCGCTGGGACACGATGTCTGCACGATGTATGAGAGAAGGTGGGTAAGTAAGAAGTAGTGTACTGTGGTTCTGTGCTCCAGTGAACCCTGAGCAGAGACTGTCTGCTGCCCCTCAGCTGCACTGTCTTCTTCTGCTGCTGCTGCTGCTTCTGTGCGCTTCAACCTGAGCGCGTTGTACTGCCCCCAGCAGGAGAACAGACACATTACTACTACTACTACTGCTACGGGGTTAATTCTGGGTGATCTGGAACACGGGGTAATGTGGGACACGTTAAATTCAGTCGGTTTATTTCCTGTTCTAAATCTAGTCAAGCTTTACCTTAACTATAAGTTAGCAGGGACATCATGTGACTGATGTCACAGAAAAAGGGCGGGGCAGGTGTCCATCAGAAGCTCCCCCTTGGAATTGCATGACAAGGTCAATGACATAAGATTCTGACTGTGGAGGACCAAAAATGACCTAAGTATA